GGGGTGGGGTTCCGGTCACCTGGCTTGCACAAGATTCAATTTCTGTTTTGCCATCCGCCATCGCCTGACATGCCCCACTACCCACCCGTGAAGTTTTTTCTAGAGTCTGTTTAGTTGCAGTGAATTTATTCCCTAGCAACTTTTTTGTGCCGTTGTAAAACAGTTATGTCGATATGTTAAAAAAGGTCAGGCTTCGTGGTTCGGCTAGGCATTGCTCCTGAATTAATACTTTATCGTTGACAGTAATCAAGTTTATTGTACTATTTCAGATCCAAAGAAATTCAGTAAAGGCAAAACACCAGACCACTAGGTATGTTGAAATTAGGTAGATTCATTCCATCAATTATTGATATAATGAGTTGAAAAGTAAAAACAAAATGATACATACCGTCTAATTTGTTCCCCAATATCGAAAATAAAATGGAAAAAAAATGAAAATAAGTTATTTCAAGGAATCCATACGTTATTGTTAACATAAATTAATATTCTTTTGTGTCATTTCAGATTTCGAGTAGTTTTTTATTCAAAGATAAAAATTTATTCTTTTTAAGAAATTTAGCAAGGAAACAGAAACAAGACAACTGGGTAACTTTCCATTAGGTAGATTGGTTCAAAATAAATTGATATAATGACTTGAAAAGTAAAAAGTAAAATGAATGATACTCACGAGCTGATTTGTTCCCCAACATTGATCGTAACATGGAAAAGATGAAAATCAATTATCAAGAGACATCAATAGTTTATTGGTAATAGGGATGAATATTTTATTGTGTTATATATGGTTCAAAATAGTCTTTAATTGAAACACAATATTTTCTTCATTAAACGAACAGTTGTCAGCAATAAAGAAACACAAGACTACTAGTTAACCTTCCATTAAGTAAATTGGTTTAAGGTTAATTAATTCCCACCTTCGCGGGTGTCGTTCGGAAAAAAAATTCGTACGCGCGCCAGTTGCAATAAAACCCTGACAAACTATATATCAGAAGAAAGCTTAATAATGTAACTGACGATAGAAATACAATTTTAGTGACTTTTTATTTCAGGAAGTGTCATGAGCCCTTAAGGCGTGAAACGACCGAGGGTTCTTCGATTGAATTTGTCGGCTATCGGAT